CAATTAAATATAATCCATATATAGTAATATATGGTCATATATGTGGTCATATATAAGAACATATATTACCATATACAGAACATATATAATCATATATGAAGCATATATAACCCTCATTTACCTGGGTAACGGAGAACTGCATAAAGTGAAGCGCGGGGAGCGGGGTTGAGAGGGGTGGACAAAACGCCGCCGCTGCATAATCTTGTTCGAATTAAATTGGATTTATTCGAGTCCCGAATAAAAAGTTATGGCAGTATTCTTCGAGAGTAGGGTGGATACTTATATATACTCTGTGAAAGGTGAGCCGGCTCACGGGTGCCGCGGGTCCCGCGGCGCAGATCTACCTCCTCCACTTCTCGCCTGCAATCTTCTTTCTGCCCCTCCAAGGATTTCCTTCCACTTTTTTTAGTTGAAGGAGGTTTCAGCAGGAACGGCGTTGGCTTTTATCCTTTTGGGTAGCCGGGTATCTTTCTAACGGCTCCCGCACTGCTCAATTATAAAGACTCTGAGAGAGTGTTATTCCACCCCATTGAGAGAGAGTGTGTTACCAACGGTGCCGTACTGCCCCACCCTTCCCTGCCCCCCTCACCCGCTCCTGCCGGCTCCCCCTCGAATAAAAGTGAAGTGCGTTGCAGTGGAAGATATGGCCGGGCGGCCTACGGACCCGTCTGCATAAGTTAGCTGCTCAGCTTTTACCGCTGATTTCGTCCTCTTTCCCCCCAAATCCTCTTCCCCCTTTTTGTCGGGGGGACGCGGAAACTTGCAGCATATAGCAGATAGAGGAGGAAGTGGGGAAGGGGGGTGTTTAACGTGAGTGCCCCCCCCCCCTTTCCTCAGTTCCACCCCCATATACTTCTGCCCCTTCATTTCTCCTCTGCCGACAATTTTAAAAGTCGCAAAGTGAAACGGCCGCCGCTCGTGGTGGGTGTGTGCAGCTGCGGGGGCTGGATATGATGAAGAGTTTCTTCGTGGGAAATCGACGTTTGCGAGCCTACGGGACTCGAACTCGGCCCCCTATGCGCCTGCATCTCCCATCCTCCAACTCTTACTGACACGTGACGCTGAGCTGGCAGTGCTTCCCCATCTCCTTTTATCTTCAACAAATAAAAGGCCGTGTATTATTGCGAGTATGCGCCGCAGGAGGCCGAACACGTTTCTTTTAGCACAACTTCAAAATTCACGTATTTTCTAGAAGTTTGCTCGCTCGAGTACGTCCGATTAGTAAAACCCTTCTGTCATTGTTGTTTGACAATGCAATGCCGTTTCTGGCCAATCTGTCATGCGACGTACTTTCTAATAAAACCGGAGCATAGAAAAATACGAATTTTTCGACAGTTGCGGAGAAGGAGTTTGCGCCGCGCCCGCCTGCTCGAGGAGAAGATGCTGAATAAGGGAGAGTGGCGGTGCGGTGTGTTCCTCATGTATTGAAAAGTGTCCTCAAGTGCAATGAAGGGTGTCGAGAGGGCAGGGAAGAGCAGGGCAAGGTGGGGAGCGATCGATGTGTATATGGGGCCTGCCTCTCTCACCCTCTCACTCGCACCCACTGCCACCGGGGCGGTGCGGAGAGCACCAGGTGCTGCAAGTGCAAGGTTCTGTTTATAAGCAGAAACCCCCAGCCAGCAGGCGTGGGGTGGAGGAGGGTCGGCCTCGCCCTCGCTATCGCGCACATCCGCCCCGAGGTGGGATTTAGAGAGAGAGAGAGAGAGGGAGGGAGAGAGAGGGGGGGGGGGGGGCAGAGACAGAGACAAGGGAGCGCGGGACATGCGGTGCCCGTCCCTCCGCTTCGGCTAAATGGCTGACTGATCCACGTAAGACACGCGCGCGCCGAGCAGAGGAAGGAGACAATTTTGATTCGGACGATAGCGCCCTCGCCTCGTGCGGCGCCTCCAGGGACGAGAACACTGCTGAAAACGCTTCGGGGCTGTTTGCGGACAATGTCTTTTAGTTTTCGACCGCGCAGATATGATTTTTTGTGAAAATATTTTTTCAGTTGTAGTCTAACTTTGGAGACGGCACAAATAGACCGATTAAACCGCAGCTGACGGTCGATCCGGGCAAGGTGTGAAGGTTGAACACGGGCCGTGAGGCGAGCAGCGGCGACGATGCCCCCTCTCCGCCAAACGTGACGGGGTGACAAGGCAGCGCCGGGAGAAGGGAACAGGGGAAAAGAGAGAGAGAGCCGCCCTTTCAAGTCCCAGGGCGCGCCCTTCACGGGACCCCCCCTTGACCTGCACCTGAGAGGGGCCCCGAGTCCTTGGCCCTGATGTGCACCCTGCGTGGCCCTCCTGCCTGCCTCGCTCTCCCTCACTCCCCGTCTCTCCCCTGTCTCGCGCCCTTGCTCCCGCGGACACCCCGCACCGACCTCTCCTTGTCGTCTCTCCCAGTTGTTATCCCCGCCGGTCCTGCTGCGTTCAGGTTTCCAAAATAAATCACTTGTTCCACGCGCGGCAGCAGCAGGACCAGGAGGGACCCGCCCCAGTCCGGCCGGCCCGGACCGGCGCGGCGGGGGAGCCGGAGCGACCGAAAGGCACAAAATCCTCCCTTATTTTGAATCACCAGAACGCGAACGCGACCCCTCAAACACGCACACGCACCATGAGCCCTTTGCCCTTCCCCCCCTCTACCAAATATAATAAAAACGATTATTATTCGAATATGGAAACGATTATTTTACTACTATTATTTCCAGAAGTGTTTTCTCCGCGCGCGTTAGGATGAGCGTGGGGGGATAAAGTGAACGTGTTCGCTGAGCTGCCTGCGGGCGCGGCGTGGTGCACTGCGCTGCCGAGGGGTTACCGAAATACATATTCTCGCGGCGGCGGGGCGGGGCGGGGCGGGGCGTCCGTAATGAACGATTAGTGCTCAAACTTGGTCCTCATTTGCCACGCATCCGCCACGCCTCGCCACGCCAGAGCGGGACCCACTCGCTCACCACCGCCCGTGACGACTTGGGTGCGTGGAAGGGAAGGGCGACCCCGCTGAGTTCTGCTAATTAGAGTCTCTCTCTCTCTCTCTCTCTCTCTCTCTCTCTCTCTCTCTCTCTCTCTTTTTCTCTCTCTCTCCGTGAAGCCCTGAACAAACCAATTTTATTTCAGCGCAGACACGTGCGATTTTCTCTCCGGAAGTGAATGGCCACACTGGTAAAACAAGTGAACAAAAAGTGTCCATATTTTAAACACCAACGTGCGCAAGTT